TCCAGCTAAGAAGTGACTCGTGAACGCCTCCACCTATACTGGGAAATACCAAACCTTACTGATGATCATGAGTGCTCACTTTTCCTTGCTTCTGAAACATGAATAGTTGTGGTAATACCGTAACTGACTCAAGGTAAAGTGCGAAGGTCCATGCGATATCAGCAGGCCTGATGAACAACTCTGAGATGAACAACTTGACACCGTGGTGCAGTCCCTCACATGAAAGCATTGAGGCTAGGATGGAATATCCCTGCCAGAACCAGTGCTATGACTAGCAGATAAATGTGCTTAAAGGTGTCGGCTCCTGCTTCGTAAGTAGCTCGGTAACGTACACGGCAAAAGTAACTGAGGTGTGGTATGAATTAGGCAAGTTTGGCGCTGGAATAATACACCACAGTCCCGGCTAGACACAGACTGATAGCCTCCGTGAGCTGGTAGAGCCAATCTCCGGATCGATCGTAGGGTAGGTATCTTGAGGTCGCCATGATTGGATACGGAATAGGTCCGATTTAGTACCCTTCGAATGGGACGATGGACACTAGCCTGCATGCGCTGACTAATGTATAGCATTCGAACATCTTCAGCGACACTCCACTCACCGACTTGGACGTCTCTGATGAAACCACCCAAGTCAATTAGCCCAGCCCTTAAGGTGGACTTACCTATTTTAACCACAACCATCAGGAATGAAAACATACTGATCATTGAGCTGGTCGTGAGCAACATAGAGAAATCCCAATCAGAAGAGATGTAGAATAACACCAATCCCACGAGGCAAAACAGACCCCAGAAGCGTATGTTGTCCTGAAGGAGTGGTATGCGTTATTAAACGCCCGTCTAGTTATTACCATATTATTAGCCAACCATATTTTGCGTGTTTCAGGATCCTGCAGCGTCGCGATGATACCAGTATTCATAATTGGAGTTGGAGACAGTAATGACTACCCTAAGTATAAAGTGGGGTATCGCTCACAAGGAGATCTCAAAGGTGGACCGCGGGAAAAAATTGTGTTCTATACCCGAGTTTGTCAAAACCAGTAGGTTGTCGACAATATCGCGCGCGCCACTTTAATCGATCACTTTTGTTGTTCACTTCTCAATCACAGTATGGTATTTGGTCCATGAGGAGTACTAATCTAGAGGGGTTCGGTATTACGATCCGCTTGTGGTTAAGGAGTACTCATCAAGTACCAGATACTGAAGACGATAATGATTGAGGGGACGTGCCACCACCCCTCCGCGAGTTGGATAGGCTCCTGATACTATTACTGTTGATGATCTCGTTCAAAGCACGAATTTGGATTCAGTTACTGTCAGTATTGAATCATCTAAGGATACGTGATGATACTCCACGTGGTCATCTTGAGATACTCTTTCTCCGTGATGTTAATCAGAATTTAATACAGGATACGGATTTGGGAGGTACCATTAGAAAACGTCAAGAATCTTGACTCAAGGTTGCCACTTGAGGGCTGCTCTCGATCACAGCCGCTTTTGGAACAGTACCGGTCTTTGATTGGAAAATAAGGGAGAAGGGGAAATATATACATAGCCAGCAAAAAGGAAATTCTTGTTGGTATTGGTACACTTCAAGTCGTGTATGACTTCCCATAATGTAGTTGACGAACCATATATGTAGTTATACCGCTCTGCGAAGAGCCTCCGCAGAGCGGGAGAACAGGGGCGAACTTCCGGTTACGGGTCGTTAACTATTAAGAGCGCTTACGGTTTCACAAGCCGTACCTCACCGAATTAGGGTAAAACTTCCACCATGAAAGTGTAAAACGTGTGTTGCATGCTGACGGAGCGAGTTTCGGTGTTTTAAGTACTACATGTTGCGTAACATATAATACATATCTACCGTCTTAGACCTCTCTCATAAGGCTAGTGTGACCAGTGGAGTTTTATATCAGTTTGGACGCCATCTGAGTCGAGTGATTCGACTGTCCAACATAGGACCTCGAACCGCTCGTCAATCATCTCATCCACTCCGAGCAAGCGATCCATCAATCTGGAAAGACACTTTTCGAACTCAAAGTCTTCGGGCCGAAGGGCCTCCTGGATATCCGTATTCTAGGTTCACTCCGGGTACAATCCCGTCCAGACATAGGAAGGATTGACAGATTGATAGCTCTTTCTTGATTCTATGGGTGGTGGTGCATGGCCGTTCTTACTGGTTAATTCCGTTAACGAACGAGACCCCGGTTTGGGTATGGAACTTCCATGACGGAAGAGGGTTTGGATCTACTCGCTGACTAATGTCATGGGCTCAAAGCAGAACGGCGTGAATAGTGAATAGAAAAACATTTTCAGGCTAGGGCTTGCTCCCCGTAGACTTTCTGTCACCAACTATGGTCTTAGTTGAGTTCATGTGAACCCCAAGTAGTGCAATCACTGTGGCTGTGTCATGAATTCAGTGGGGAAAATTATGCATATCCTCAACTGACTCTGTTGATGGCAATTGTAAACTTATACCTCGACTCCAGCTCTTTGAGTCGTGTATTAATAACTGTAATATAGTGCGAAAGTGCCTGAGCTGAGCTGAGGAAAGCAACACCATCTGGGTAGGGAATAGTATTGACCGTTGTGAATCCGAACTTCTGATCCGGTCAGACTGATCGTGGTATGAATCATACCGCACGATGTAGTACACCAACTGACCAATCTGATGTACTACATTGGATGCAAGTAGATTCGTACAACCAGCAGTGGATTTGCAGAATCAGTGGTGGTTGATAGCATAGTGCGTTTAGCGTATCCTGTTGACATGGTATAAGACTTTACCACTCACGATCGACAGCTCCTATGGCTAGTATACAGTGTTTGTCATTAGGACCAACTTCTGCTGCAGACGTTCCGTTCCGACAGAGCAGTGTTTACTATGGATCAGTTGGATTCATTTTCAATACTCAGTGTTGTGTTCAAAGTTGAGGACAGCGTGGAATAAAATATACACATGGTCAACTATATGTGTTGGTGACAATATGAAAATTCTGAGGAAAATTAATTTTGAAAGTAGGCAATTCAGATTATCAATCCACTTCAAACATGACAGTTATCATCAACCATTGATCAGTACACCAGAGCACATGCATCTTATCGACGAATTGCACTATTCCTCTTCTTTCTTTTCTTCTTGGGGTGTACTTCATTGAAAGAAGGGCCTGAGTCCGGTTGTAACTCACTGACTGATGGGTTCGCAGTAGTAGTAGTATTGAGGGCTGTCGGCTCGGGGGTGGCAGTAGTAGTAGTAGTCTCGACCGGATAGGGGACCTCCTCACTGGCCGGCTTGGCAGTAGAAGCAGCTTCGGCGGCTGGAGGGGATGGGGTCGCGGCATTCTCGTTTCTTCTTGGGCACTGAGAACGGGGTTTTACATGATGTACAAATTACTAGAGTAACTTACTTGAGGGTTGAATATAGATGATGCTGATGCACCTGCCAGATTGGCGATGAAGGTGAAGATGCGCATAGTAAGAGCACTAGGTAATGGCTGAGTCAATGATAGTCAGTAAATGCATGTTGGAAATCAACAAACCTCTCATGCGTTTCAAAAGTTCTACATCCGTGAAATCCAATCCTCTCTGAAGCTCAGGAGAGGTCTATTGAACACATCGGCCCAAACTACTTGCAGTTTGTTGTGGCACCAGGACATGCTAGCTCAGTGTGGTTAAATTTGCACATGATCAACCACAAGTGTTGGGAACAATATCACAACTTTGAGGAAAATTTGGAGAATTTATGTCAGTTTCTGTCCACTTCGCGTATTTTTTCTCGATTCGTATATGAACACCTATGATTAGTGAGGAAACTATTGAGCTCAGCTGAGGAAAGCGAGTACATATTTTGCAGCACTGTGCTAGCTGTAGTAAGAAAAAGTGATTTTCAGTAAACTACTTCTGTACCCAAAAACGTTTTCGGGAAAGAATTTTATTCACCCAATTGACTTCAGCTTACGACTTGTG